TCCTCTTACGCGGGCACCTGGAAGTGAAATTTCACGAATCTACATCAAATTCCATATAAGTGGAATACGGTGTGCTACTAGATTCGGTATTGGGGCCTCGTTTCTTCTTGGTTTTCATCAACGATCTAGTGGGCTTAATCATTTCACACTGTTTGCTTTACGCCGACGACATCAACGTTTGGCGGCCGATCAACGCTCCAACTAACCGCATGCAGCTTCAACTCGACCTGATCAAAATTCATGAATAGTCGATCCACCATCCTCTTCAGTTCAAAAGGATTAAATGTCGAGTATCCTATCTACGACACCAAATGCTTCACAGGTATAATCTGGGCGAGCAGCATCACGAGCACTGTTCTCAGGAGAAAGATCTCGGTTTACTGATCAAGGAAGATCTTAGTTCTTCGGAGCAATCTGAGGTAGAATCAATAATGGCATCCAAAACTTGGGGATGTTGTTGAGAACTTTTGTACACTTTTGCGCACGTACTTGGAATATGCGATTCAAACATGGTAGCTATGACAAGAACGAAACCGCACTGTTTTGGAAATTCCTCATTGTCAGTCCACCACAAACGTCTAAGGGCTACATCATTTACCTTAAGAACTGCGCCGGAGTATTTTGAGAGTTTTCAGCAGACGCTATCAACATCTGTGTGATGATCTTAGCATGAGCTACTAAATTTTAAGCAACCCTAATTACCCGTGCTGTCAGCTGATAAAGCTCGGCTATAACAACAGACTGGGAGGTCACTGAAACTGACAGAACAATGCAGGCGGCTGGAGTGTAGACTGATTTTCTTCTCGCTGCGCGTTTGCCACATATACAATTCACTCCCGGTACCTGTTATTTCGTTCCGCACATTGGCTGTGTTCAAGGATCGTGCCGCGTTACATTTACGTTACACACGTGAACAATACACACATTCAGAAAACAAAACCGTATCAACGCACATCCGTTTTTTTGGGACAACCAATGGCAATGATTTTTCGAGTTGCATTAAGTTATATGTGAAAGATTGAGATAAACAAAATTTTCTTCAACAAGTTCACTGTTTTCAGTAGTTCTTTGATCATGGATGTTTTTCGTTTCTTTCGGAAACCACTCACTATCCTGTGGAACATGTTAAGCCTTGGATTATTTTTAATCCGCAATTTACCATTGACCATCCCAATCCATTGAATAATGAATAGCATATGTCTTCGCTAAAGAAGCCTGAATGAACAGCATGGTCGTCTAACGATTTCTTTAAGGTCTGTACCTATAGCTTTGGAGCTAACGATGACCGATTCCACCTATAGCCATGTTACTGTCTTGTAAACAAATATTGTTTGCTATATTACAGACCGGTGTTCTGTTATCGAGGGTGTCGAGTTTATGTAAGCATCAGGCATCCAAAAAGGTGCATTTACAACGTGTACCCTGTCACAGCGGATGCACAAAATTACGGCATTCACCTAGAAGAAAATACTAAAAGATAATCGTAATGGCATGAAACCGTCTTTAGGGAGAATCGCCACGTATCATATTGGTGGTATTCTTTGACTGGACTAATGCGCGTGGCGGAGGCGGTAGGAGCGAATCGCTATATTTTGTGGTGTGACTTACAGAACTTCTATCGCCTCATTAGGCAGTGTAAGTACTTGGATATTTTGATGAGCCTTCAAAACAAAAGTGATGAAAATATTTGGGAACCCGAATTAAGGTTGACCAGTGCGTCGATATGTTTAGTAACATAAGTAACAGCTATGACATCTAATGATAATTTACTGTATTTATGAAAAAGCCTCATCGTCCCTATAATAAATTTATCATTAGGTAGAAATTCGTCACATCTAGGCTCACTCAGACAGCCGCCACATGCCCGGAAAAGCACTGGACGCGCGTTTCATCCTTTAGGGAATCATCAGCAGTGCGCGTTCCATCGGACCCTTGGTAGGGCTCGAAACCGCAACTCGACTGTTGCCAGTCCGTGGTTGAGACCACTGAGCTACGGGGGGGACGGCAACGACCATCGTGAATAAGTTACTAGATGTGATATAGCGCCGCTCACTATCCACTGACTGAGTGAGCCTAGATGTGACGAAATTCTACCTATACCATACAACTCCCCCTACTACTCTTCTGTAAACAGTACGCAGAACAAACTGCTTATAATGCCATAAGATAATTGGCGGCTTAAGTTTGTTAAGCTCGTCGCTTGGTGAGGGGGCTACCCTGTCCTCTGCACGGCAGTAACGTGTAAGTCAGTGGATAGTGAGCGGCGCTATATCACATCTAGTAACTTATTCACGATGGTCGTTGCCGTCCCCCCCGTAGCTCAGTGGTCTCAACCACGGACTGGCAACAGTCGAGTTGCGGTTTCGAGCCCTACCAAGGGTCCGATGGAACGCGCACTGCTGATGATTCCCTAAAGGATGAAACGCGCGTCCAGTGCTTTTCCGGGCGTGTGGCGGCTGTCTGAGTGAGCCTAGATGTGACGAAATTCTACCTATACCATACAACTCCCCCTACTACTCTTCTGTAAATTTATCATTCTTTTGAAGAAGATGCAAACACCGGAAGCACGGTATGGCCAATGAGGATGGAATGTATGCAACCGCGAATGTAACAATAAAGTCACTGGGTATACAAACTAAGTTGCTGCTGGGAGCGGGGGAAGCTAGTATTTCGGTTCTACAAAATGTTTTATAAAGATGTGTACGGAGAGAGGTTTGTGGACAGATCCTCATTTATGAAATAAAAGCTCGGTATTTGTGCGTTAGCATTGTATCCACTGGTAGCAACCTTTCCTGTGAAGGAATAATAGCTTAGCTACATATAAAGCATGAAAAGATAAAGTATTGATGTCACGTTGTGAAGCGCAAAACCATTTTCTCAGTGCTAAACTTGTCGGTTAGTGTTTGTAACATTCAGCTTCGAAAGACAACCTCACATTGAAGTTAAAAAAAACTATTGCTGGTTTCTTTGGCTTGGTTAGGGATCTTAGTATGAACTTATCGCCCTTATGTGTTTAACAAATATATCACCTTTTTGTCCTGTCTCCTCCAGGAAGGTTATTTTTACTGTGTTCAGTGACCACTATGCTCCTTCCCAGGGACATATTTTAAAGCTACAGTTTGTCTTAACTCACCTTACTGAAATTCTGTCACAATCGTGCTTCTTACGCTTGCTCACCGATTTAACAAGTGTAGTCCTGATACTGCATGGTTGTTTCCTTGAGTGCAATTTTGTACCTGCTCTTATTTTCGGTTGATTCGTTTGCAGCACTTGTTGTGCGAGTGGGTTACAACACAAACCTGTCATATGGAACAAGATGCACCCCAACGTTAGCCCTGCTCTTTTGAGTTACTGCATCTTTACTGGATATGGACACGTGCCGCCACCACAGTAGAATGCACTGCAGAGCTGCCAGTCAATCCTCAGTCGTTGCGCCCTAACGCCAGAAGCCCTATGCCACCTAGCCTGAGTTAGGTTTTTTACGACAGATAATTACTTATAGTTTCTTCACCTGAAGCCTGCGTTTTAACTGGTTATCTCGAAAAGTTGTCGGGTTTCAAACAGATTCCACACGGCTAGTCAGTCAGTCGGCCTCTATGCATCGGGAAAGTAGTCAGAAACCCATTTTCAATCTTAACTCTCTCGATTAGAAACAATGGTTTCATGGAAGCGATACGGGTGCATTCTAGCTCGTGCTCTCCCTCGCCGCGCTCTCAGCTGTCTAACGCCATCAATAGCCATACTAGTTAAGTGGCGTTTAGGACCTTTCGACTCTACGTCCGATGTCCGCAGCACAGTCTGTTACATTGCAAAGAAATGGGCTGTGCGTCTGAGCGCCTCAGGGCTTGGCGTGGATGCAGGTCACCGCTAAGTTCAGTTATCTTGGATAGACCTTCGTAGGCTGTTTCGAATGTTCTGGAAGTTTGGCTGAGCCAGTCTATGAGGAACTTGCAACAGGACCTGAAGTTTAGGTTTCGCGAAAGAGTATGACTAGTTTGTCATATTTTACAATATTTTCATGTTGCTGGTAAACAGCTGAAATTTTGGGTGCTTCAAGTCTCTCTTCATGTGACTTAATCTGGTGAGACCGAGGAGTTTGTAAAGCATACGTTATCCAGAAAGACATCCTTATGTAAATGGTCGGGCCCACAGAAAACGCAACAAACATCTACCATCAAACACTGCGTCGGGCTGCGCTCGCTACCAGGCAGCAAGAAACAAGCCTATCCTTTTCCTACAGTAAGGAGAAGTATCCACTGAAGCAACGCTCGTTTTCCCCGGTTGCCGTGTGCAATGGATAAGCTGCATTTGAGATGGTAATGGTCATTGCAAGATTCAGAGTTAAGGTTTGCTCGTCCACAGTGGGAACAATCAGACGCTTAGTATGCAGAAACCGTAGTGCCCACTGGGCAAGAAAATTGTGACACTGGATAAAACGAGTAAAAGTGTTACGTTCCATAGACGAAGACGTAATCATCGATGCCAACTTGTGTGCAACTGGATAGTCATACATGTAGATTTCAAAGCGAAGGAAGGCTCACCATACAGGGTTAGGCGAGAAGTCATTTGACCTTGTTGCCAAGACTTCGCTACTACCTGTGCATGGTGCCGACCAGGCAACGGACTACTTCGACCCCTGTGTACCGGAAGTCGTTCTATCTTACCAATACAATCTTCACCAATCTTTCAAGGCCGTCGTAATAAGCTTGATTGGGTCAGTTCTGCGCCCTCAAAAGCAACCATTAATCAGTCTCTAGGGCCCTGTGTAGTAGACCATACATATAAATAATCGTCTCAGATATGAATTGCTTGGTGGCACCCTCCAGCAAGTATTGTATGAAGTTATTGTTTTGTGCTGGCATTAAAGAGGCACTACAAAGTACACACTACCATCGGTGTTTCCCTTCAATTAGCTGCACGAAGTGACGATCACACTGCCATACTCCAGTAGAGCACACATACAGCAAAATATCAACAGACAGTACGCAGTCATAACTTACCTTCCGCCAGGTTAATATCCGGTAGATACCAGTATCTCAGATTGGTATGCAAATACTGTGCGATATTTTCCAGATCCGCAGTTTCCTTACTTGGCTTTGACGAATAAGATTTGCTCGTACCCCCTGGGTCATCCAATGAGCCCACGTTAACTGACCTGCAAAATGCAGTTAAAATAATAAAGATCTGGATACAAATAGGGAGGTATCAACTTTAGGCTGAGAGCTATGGGGCTGCAACTTCGTCATATTTGAGGGTGATTTTGAAGCGTTCGTTGTGGGAATGGATTGCGACGCGCAATCTAAAGTCACCGTTGACAAAGTGACTCGAAGTAAGTATGGAAGAACTCAGTGCTACAATCTGTTGACGGATCCTTGCTTCGGGGGTAATTATGGCGCCAGCGTTTTATAAGTGAACAAAAACCCCGAGAGCATTTTCCACAGACTCTACCACAGGGGAACCCAACTTTGGGAAGGGGCACTGTCGACAAAATCTCGATGCTCCAGGGGATTACCATCGCCAAACCCAAACGATGTTCACTGCCAGGGCGCCTGCAGACGCAACGAAACGCTTTCCCACGTCTTACAGTTTTGGGCAGTAACTCACGACGCTCGCTGTAAAAGACACAACGATATCGTGAAGCAACTAACCAACCACGATTAGTCGCACAGGAGCCCAACTCATTCCGCAGCCCCGCAACCCAGCTGCAGCAACATACATCAGGTTGGATTTAATCGCCATTAAGAAGTGTAGCGCATCCCTAATGGACGTGGCAACATGAAACACCTACAGAATGATCCATAGTTACCAACTAAACATTGACAAATACGGTGTAGGTGCTCATACGGAAGTCATAGCCCGCTTCCAGCGCTAGGAATCTCCTACGGGATTAAATGTCATGCATCATCCGATAATTATCAACTCCCAGCCTCCGCCAAGCACATTTCGGCACTGAGGCTCATCAAACTTGATACATCCAACCGATGTGTGTCTACAATGTGAGGGTCCCTTAAAGTGTACGATACCTTCTTGCGGGACGCGACGTCACAAAACACATCACACCGACAACATACGTTCACACATTCGTGAGCGATTCCGAACATTTCATTGAGCTTTATTTTCTTACTGTTCCAATATTAGGCCAGGACATTTGTCCGCTCTAGGCGAGGTTTTGTAATGGCCAGGCCTGGGGCAACGTATGAATTGATAGAAAATATATGTTCATGGACTGCGGTTCGCACTGAAGTGAGCCATGGTCAATTCGATCTACTGAACCGTAATTGACAAAGCAAATGTACACTGAGTGTTGCCCGCCCTAACACACTACACTATTTGACCGGTTTCGAACATATTTGATCTCCTCAAGGAAAGATAGATGACATGGAACCCAGGGCCGTTGTGATTTTAGTCGAAATCTTTGCTTTTTTATCCACATTGAAATTGTGCGTCGAAATCCATTCACACGACGAGTGCCTCAAAATAAGCCACTATCCAGTCTTTAACCGTTATGATGGACGTTGTCTACGATGACGTAATGACTAAAGTGGTGGTGATTTCAACTAACACCCCACTGGTCCCGGATTCGGAGTCTGTTATCTGCATCTGATGAGATCAACCTACGTCAAAACGCATCGTGGTGTGTAATATTTTCAAACAGGTAACACCCAATATCCATGTGGTTCAAATTCGTCATGGTTTTGGTATCCTTCAAGCTGCGAATTGAGTAATCTACTGAAGCTTGAACTTACTTCTTAAGTTTGTAGGCTGCACTATCTCAGTGGATTGAACGGTGTAATTTAATGGTACCAGGCAGCAAATACGTTAGCGTAGGAACCCCCTACTACTTATCCATTATTTCTTCATAACCTGGAGGAACAAGCGACCACCCAGAGTCCATGGTCACCTTGTAACGGTTTCGGCCGTATTCCCATCCGCTAGGGTCATCGTATAACTACTTGAATACCAACTTCGACGGTGCATCTCGAGCCGCGAGCCAAATAGCTTGTTCTTCGCTGCTGTCTGTATCTACTGAGGACTTGTAGACTGTTATACTACCAGTGGCATTGTGGTGTTCTGGGTGCGTTCCACTGAAGTGTCAGAAAGCTGAACCATTTAAGCCACACTGGTTAGACAATGGGTGTGATAAAACTGACTGGCGACGGCGCGTGCTGTGGGACAAAACCTTCTCTCAGGCTCTTCCAACTAATAGGAAAGCTATGGGAAGCAAAGGAATGTCTGCAACAGCACGAAAGCGAGCAGGCACCTGTAGTTCGATGAGTCACTCGCAGCTGCCACAAAGATCGTCCCGAGCAGAACATTAGCTTACATGGAAAGAGGCCTGAAGCCGGTGGGTGACCTACCAGTGATTGTGGGCTCAGGCGGGTAACCTAAGGAGCAAGCGTGCGTCCGCATTAGCGACGCACTTCGCCTCCGTATTCGCAAAGAGCCAGGTGTCTTTATAGTGTTAGACTTGCACTGCGCTTACCGAACTAAATGGTCTGGATTGCGGTGCTGAAGATTTGTGTCTACTACTAGCCAAACTTGAGGGCACCAATCCTCCGAGGTCTGGTGATCTCCACCAAGGGATTTTCAATTCTATTCTTTCGCAAGCTGTTTGAACAGTTCAACTTATCGTTGTCCAAAAGTTCCTTACCGGAATACCCGACATGTCCGGTGGTAAAACCAATTTCTAAAAGCAACGATCCCAGCAGGGTGTACAAATACAGGCACCTTTTGGCCAAGTTAACCTGGAGATTATGAAGAAGGAATTTCTAAAGCTGTTCCTGTCATACGATCACATTCCCGCACAGTATTGTTTCATTCTAGGTTCTTCAGGCATTACCAAGTTGCTAGTGACAAAAGCTGGATGGTTTCAGGACATAAACCGGGAAGTCTGTCAAAGTGATCTGCATCGCTTTCAGTAGTGCTCGAAATAGTCAACCACCCCGAACAACCTCCTCGTGGTGCCAGCTGGGTGGTTCGGGTTTACCCTCTTGCAGCCATAGTTCGGCGGCAGTGTTCCAGCAGATGAATGGTTTTCGCCTGGAAAGTGCTTTCCCTATAAAAAAAACCCACAAGTATGCGTTTAACAACACTGTGACGTGGCGGTTGTAACTTGCACCATCTAAAGTCACCCATTGCTTATCCAGACAACAGCTTCAAGTCCACAGCCATCAAGCATCCATTTAACACTGGCGACGCGTTCAAGCACGATCAAAAGGGCAGAAAAGCATTTACAGCTTCCATAAACACAACTAAACACGCCCACACGCACACTTACATACATTCATATATCAACATGTGCGGCAATCCCATTGTTCCATTGTACATTAACTGATCGCATTTTGTACGCTTAACATGCTCATGCCTGTGGAGGCGTGTCTCACTTAGTCGAGAATAAACCTTTTATTTATTTATTTCAGCGTACCTCAACTATCCCCGTGTGGTCTGCAGTAGTCCACATTCTGGTCAGTTAAGCCCAACCCGTAATTGGTAGCCTAGGGGAGAGGAGTGATGGCCGCCCCTATATCCTCGACCGCTAGTTACTACATTCCACTACTTCCGCGATTTCACCTTCGTGGACAACATAAACAGGCTACACTAGAACGACCCGCACATATTTTAAAATAAGTAGCTCCCTTTAGTAATTTGAATAAAGCCGTAAGCAGACGAACACTGGTAGAGGTCAATCTTGCGTATTGTTTCTCCAGTGTCAACTAAATAACATGAAAATATATGAGACGACTGGTAAGGTGAAATCAGGACAAGTTAGAACAGGGTGGAGGGCAGGAGTGACACTCCTACGTCCATGGCAGCTGTAGGCTTATGAACAGCTGTTTCGGCACACAGACTGCGGGTTTGATACGGCTGATCGCGACTGCCTCTGCGCGTGTTTTGTGCGTTCAAACGCAGCTCCTGCATTTGGTCTGATGTGGCTGCTACTCACCCCTTCTCGTTCACCCTAACGCTAATGTCTCGTCCCCCTACCTTCCGATTACACGAGACGAGGCATAGAAAAATGAACTGGTTGAACACTTCGATAGTCGACTCATCCTTACTTTACTGGGCTTTCTGTACAGGTATTGCGTGACCGTAGAAACGTCTAGCCATTTTTCTTGGTTTCAAGATGGCAGTTGGTGGAGACCGACGAGGTGCGAGCCATGCTGTTTGCCTCTAGCGAGGCAGTTTTCAAATGTAAACAAAGTTTGATTTCTGCGATCAGATTGCCGTATTTTTGTGCAAATGACAAAACACATCTTACAGAGAGAACCATCTTACACTCAGGATGTAACCAAAGTAAGCCCAGCATAATGTTCTGTTTCGTTATTTTGCTTCGAAACACGCTGGTACACTTTGGATGCATTAAGTGGCACAATGAGAACATGCTGGCACTACATTTTCCACCCTAGCAAATGCTTGAGCAACACAATAAACCTTTCGCGGTCCAGCTGTTGTGACGAACGACGGATGGCTGGTTTGTTTGCTCGCCCATAGTCAGGTCAAGGTCGAATGACTGGCTGCCCGTGCTTTGTGTGTTGCTTTCGCGCACCTCACACGACCGCGCGTAGGGCGGCTACTGCACGCCACTTGTTTATGCTTCTGTCGTACGGGGCAAGTAGACTGGTCACACCGACTGAACTAGAGAGCAGCGGAAGTTGGTGCCCGTCTGAATGAGAAAGGTACAAAGTGAAAACGCGTGTTGCTCCCTAGCTGTCACACAGAATGATAGAAGCAGACGGACGCGAGCCTTTTGGAAAGCTGAGAGACTTCTCAGCAAAAGTCCAGGGTGGGTGCTTTTAACAGAGAAAAATTGTGCCCCTGACTAAAAGTAGAAAATAACCCAAATTGATAAAGTTCGGTAAACACAGGCACCGTTGAAGTTATTCCAGAGATAATGGTTTCCGTAGAGGGAGCTCACCAAACCAAGACGATAACGTGTAAATCCAGCGACGTTCAACAAAATGTTACTGCGAAAACGCGGAAAGACCTGGAGCAAAAGATGATGCGACCGTCAGGCGCGGAGTTACGTTATCACGTCACGGGATATGAAGCGTGTTCCTCACCCCAAGTGCTTCGAAAGGAGAATGGTAGACGTTTGGGGCGGTTTAGCAGAACATATTGGGGAGGCTGAATCTGTGAAGCAATTTAAATAGTTAC